GGGGTCATGGAAACCTATGATGTATAGTCAGTTTTTTACAAGCAGAGTTAACAACTTGAACTTTTGACTGACATCTGAAGTGGGGACAGTCTTGTGGGACTGAGCCCTTCACCTATGGAGTCTGATGCTATTTTCAGGTAGACACTGTCAGAATGGACTGAATTGTAGGACATCCAATTGGTGTCAGAGAATTGCTTGGTGTGAGGAAAAACCCCACATATGGAATTGGGTACAAATTTGCAGTGATATATTCAGGATTTTTAAATAAAAGAACAGCATAGTTCTTAGTTTAATGGGGCTTATAGGATCTACTTATCCTAAGCTTAAGTCAATAATTCTAAATGTTTTGAACTGTCCTAAATGTTATTCAATATTTGCTCAGAGATCAGCAACCCTTCATGGATAGTGTGATTATAACAAGTACCTAGGAAAAGGCCATACTGGTTGTGTAAGTTCTAGAAAATAAAGTCAACTCCCAATTTTCTGGATCAATGAAGAGAAACGGTGGCATGGGAAGCAAATGTTCCTGCACTCTTCACCCAGCCCTGCTATTTACTGAGGGGCCACTGTGTCTCTAATAACCAAAAGCAGCCATTAAGGCACTTAATGTCACAAGCCTGCAAGTCCCAGAGGTAAAGTAACTTGCACAAAGGCATGGAGTCAGTCAGGGCAGAACAGAATTTAAATCCAACTTTTTCTAACTCCAAAGTCGATCATATCTAAGCTTGGTTAATTTCCAAAGCAAGAGCTACTGGCCATCCACTGCCCAATGGAGTAGGTAATCTGTGGGAGTATAACTAACAATAAAGGAAAAGAAATGAGCTCTATTTAAAGAAATTTAACATCAAATGTGACTGGGATTACAGTTTCCCAATGATATGACTAAAAAGATTGCCCCCCAAAATCAAGTAGATGACCAAGTTAAGCATGGCTTTTTTGCTTTTGATGTTTTTATATATTTTTTAAAATAGATTTTTATTGATTTCAGAGAGGAAGGGAGAAGGATAGAGAGATAGAAACATCAATGATGAGAGAGAATCTGATCAGCTGCTTCCTGCATGCCCCCTACTGGGGATTGAGCTTGCAACCCAGGCATGTGCCCTTGACCGGAATCTATCCTGGGAACCTTTAGTCCACAGGCAGAAGATCTATCCACAGAGCCAAACCAGCTGGGGCATCTACACTAATAAAAGAGAAACATGCAAATTGGTGTCACTCCGCTATGCCCACCAGCCAATCAGATCAACTATGCTAATTTACCCAACAAAGATGGTGGTTAATTTGCATACACAGGCATGGAGTGAAGACTGAAGTCTGAAGACTGAAGACTGAAGACTGGAGACTGAAGACTGAAGCCAAGCCTCGCTGCGGCTGGACCAAAGGCCTGGGTCCAGGGTGCCAGAGGAAAACCAGTGCCAGCAGCCAGGGGAAGGAAGGCCTATTGTGCGAATCTTCGTGCAACGGGCTTCTAGTTTTTATATATTTGTAAAGACACTCATGGAATGCAAAGCATGACAGAAAGATCTTAACAACTTAATAGTGCTACATCTTAAGTATTTAATTCGGATTCTAAGTGTAGAAAAAGTCCACCATGAAGGGCTATACATTAGAGAAACAAATTATGCCTTCATGGTACAAGAAAAGGAAAGTTTCTTCTGGCAGAGGAATACAGGGCAACTGCAGGTGAGCATCTGTGGCTGAGAATGGCAGCTAGGGGTCACCTGGCCATACAAACTGATGCTCTTCCCAGATGAATGAGAACATTCAAATTTTCATGCTCAAAAGGCTTTCATGATCACCAGTTATTGTTTTGAGAACTTCTATATTAGGCCTTAGTGACTGAATATTATAAATTATTGAATATTATAATTATGGAGAAAATGAGGTATGATTTCGGTTTTGCACAGACTATTATAAGGAAGAAACGACAAAAACAGGAACTTGTTACAACAGTCAATGCTAGACTTTCAAACTTGGTTTTGTTGTAGTACCTAGACTAACCATTTTTTTCTACTTTCCAGTGGGAAAATTTTTCAGTAACAAATTTTGGAGCAGAACTCTATTTATGTGTGTGGTTTTGTGTATTTTTGCACAAATGGTATATATTGAACCATATTATGTCTTGAAGTCTAGGTATTTAAACATTAATAAGACTACTGGTGAACATATGAATAGTTATAAACCATAGGGTTAACTGAACAACCTATAATAAGCCATATTAATAATGATTAATCTAAACAAATTTATAACAAAAAAGCAAGCGCATGACCAACTGAAGACAGCCAATTACAAGTTATCTTCCCCCCAAATTATAGGGATTCCAATCCCCTGAGTGTGAGTACTCAAAACAGAAATCTTGTAATATTGCTAACACATGAAACTTCAGAAAAAAACTGAAGTAAAATATTTTGGAAACTCCACTCAGATACTAATTTTAGCACAATTTTGAATGTTGTAATCCTTAATATTTTACAGTTGTATATAAAAATGAAAATCTATAGAATGTTATGCAATTTGATGAAAGCAGCTAGCATTAATTGAGCACATACTATGGGTCAGGTAGTCTTTAAGATGTTATGCATATATTTACCCTATTTCATTATTATAAATACTGGAGGCCTGGTGCACAAAATTTGTGCACTGGAGGGGGGGTGTCCTTCAGTGTGAGAGGGTGCAGGCTAGGCCAAGGGACCCCACCGGTGCAGGATCAGGGATGGGTAGGGATGTGGGAGGTTGGCCAGCCAGGGAGGGACCACGGGAGAACTCCAGGGCATGTCCAGCCCGTCTTGTTCAGTCCCCATCAGCCAAACCCCAGCAGCAAGCTAACCTACCAGTTGGAGCATCTGCCCCCTGGTGGTCAGTGCACGTCATAGCCATTGATTGAGTGGCCTTAGCATGTCATTAGCATATTATTCTTTGATTGGTTGAAAGGAGGACTGGACACTTAGCATATTAGACTTTTATTACATAGGATATGAAATAGACATACTAATATCACCTTCATTTTATAGGTGAGGCACAGAGAGGCACACGCTCAGCAAGCAGTAAAACTAACATTCAAACCCAAGAATTCAGACTCCACACTTCACACTTTTAATGACTAGGCTATGTTGCCTCCACAACTTGAATTTTTAGATTCATTCTAGGCTATTCAGGATGATCTGTGCAACTCATCCATACACTCATTTCTAACTATGATAAGGGTGCAAATAGTGCAATGGTGTTGGAAGGGAGGAGTGCAGGTCAAAGATGGATTCTAGAGAAATTAAAAAAGAGTATCAGCAAGAAGTAATGACTGGTTGTATGTGTGGGGTGATGAAGGGGTAAGGATGGGGCAGAGACCAGAATGACTTTGAATAAGAAGTAGGAGATTTGGAAGCAAGTAGGAACAACAACAGAAAAACAAGTTTTTGGTTTGGGATGATATTCACATTTGAGATAAGCATCCATAGGCTTCAGGACACTTATGAGACATTCAGGTCAAAAAGTCCATTAAGCAGCTTGGCAAAGGAACAGGCAATGAGTAAAGAGAGCTGCCCCTATACCTGAAATGCTGATCCATCTCTACCTCTGTTGAAATCATTCCTACTTAAGAAAGTTACTGGAATGAGAGACTGAGGTGTGCATGTGGGTATGGGGGAGGGGATAACATAAAGTGAGACCATTTCCCCAGCATGCTGGGGTATGAAATCTGGGAAAATACCAAGCAGGGAAAAAGAAACCACAAAGCACAAATGCTTATACTCTTCTCCCAGCATGGTACTGAGCATGACTCCCTGCGTTACACTCTGTGTACAGACCCTGTGCTTGACAAAGCACTGCAACTTACATAAGGACCTGTACCGTATTGGCTTTGTGGCTTTGGAAGAACCTAGCAAATGTAAAAATGCTTGCCATATTTTCAGGGACTCTTCTCATTTCTATAAGAAGTTAAGGAATTCTTTCAAAAATGTAGTCCTTTTGGAATTAAGGTTCAAGCATCATTGGGTTGGCTCAATGTAAGATATCTTCATTAACAGAAAAACTTGCTAGCTTCATCCCAAGAAGCCAAAAGGAGAGCAACAGAAGCAGTGAGCAAACAAAACACACAACAGTGCAGCTGCTTGCACATTGGCCTAAAACTGGTTGCTAGTCACGGCAGCCTATTCTGATCAGAAGAATCCTTCAGACAAAAGAATAAGCTATTTTGGTTTAAGGTTCATTAGAATTTAGAGTGGTTATTTTCCTCCTTAACTTTAAGTAGCTTGAAAGACAGAAATAGTAAACATAGCAATAAAAGAGAGGTTGTATAAAATTTTTACAACTATTTTTAATTGCTGAAATTTAAAATATTTGTTTTTTCTAAAACATTTTAAAATCTATTCTATAAATGAAATTAAGATGGAATTTTTAAAAAACAAAACATACTTCAGTTAAAAGCAATGGTCAAAATTAGATGGATTTAAGCCTGGCTGTTTTCCAAACTAAAATATAAAAAATGAAGATACTTTTATTTATTTATTTATTTATTTATTTATTTATCCAATACATATATATTTTTTATTCAGAGAGGAAAAGAAAGAGAGAGAGAGAGAGAGAGAGAGAGAGAGAGAGAGAGAGAGAGAAACATCAATGATGAGAGAATCATTGATTGGCTGCCTCCTGCACAGCCCACACTGGGGATTGAGCCTGCAACCTGGGAATGTACCCTGACGGGGAATTGAACCATGACCTCCTGGTTTATAGGTCGATACTCAACCACTGAGCCAAGCCAGCTGGACTGAAGATTCTTTTAGATAATACCATCAAAAGACTTTCTTAATGATTATAACTTTTCATTTATATGAAGCATGAAGCTTAATTGCCAGTAAATGGCTTTCAGTGTATCTCTAGTGATGATTAATCAATTCACCTATCTATATTTAGCTTTCAAGTATTTATAATGACATGGAAAAAAACAGCAGTAAGGTAGGAATTCAGACTAAGTATTTTAAAAGCAATAACAAAGACAAAATACTCACGATATGGCACTTCTAGTGGATGCCCTGTTACGTCACACCATCCAATTGGGTGAATGTCAGGGCTGTCTACATCCATCCAATAGTCGTATTTGTGGTCCCAGCCATCAAAATGGACCTGTTGAATAATTAGTATTTAGTAATTAATTTCACTATCCCCAATATCAAAGTATTGGAAAAAAGATATCCAAAATTGAGAACGAAATTTTATTAAACACACATTAGAGCTGAAACTGTATTTAAAATGTACTATAAAATAGCCTTCTACTCTAGCAACCAAAGGCTATTGAGCCTTTCCCCTCCCCCCCCCCAAGAATTTAAAGAAATTGGTAAAAAAAAATCTATCAGGATTGATTAGAACTTAAAGAAATAAGATCAATCCATTTTACCAACTAAGAAATATTGTAAGCATATTCTCTGTGCTGGTAGCCACTGAAAGAACCATGTCAGCATCATCAATAAGAGTCACCACCTGACATCAGTAACAAGCCATATGCAGACGGGAGGTGAATAGATTAGAATAAAAGGAAGCAATGCATTTCAAAATCCTAAAAAATTGGAACAATGGAGGCAAAGAGAGCTGATAAAATGTGCTACTGAGGTAGAAGGATTGGTAGCTATCTAATAGCTATTATAAAACCATGTGTAAGCTTTCAGAAAACCCGAGGAAGAGATTGGGCCCAGGTCCACCAATCTTTTTGGTTATCCATGTATGCATCTTACCTATAAAATACACATGACACATACACAGGCACACATACACACACACATACACACACACACACCCATGACACATACATACAAGTCTGAGAATAAGATTAAAATAAAGTCCAATTTGTGAAACAAAAAATCAGTACTTATTTTCTTTTCACTTTTATTTTTTTAAAATATATTTTATTGATTTTTTACAGAGAGGAAGGGAGGGGGATAGAGAGTTAGAAACATCGATCAGCTGCCTCCTGCACACTCCCTACTGGGGATGTGCCCGCAACCAAGGTACATGCCCGTGACTGGAATTGAACCTGGGACCCTTCAGTCCGCAGGCCGACGCTCCATCCACTGAGCCAAACTGGCTAGGGCTCTTTTCACTTAAAAAAAAACTTTATTGTTGAGATTATTACAGATGTTCCTCTTTGTTCCTCCCATAACTCCCCTCCACCGGGTTCTCACCCCACCCAGGCCCTCACCACCCTATTGTCTGTGTCCATAGGTAATGCATACATGCATATAAGATCTTTGTCTAATCTCTTCTTGCACCCCCCACATCCTCTTCCCTCTGAGAATCATCAGTCTGTTCCATTTCCATGGCCCTGATTCTATTATATTCGCCAGTTTATTCTGTTCATCCGATATTTTATTCATTTGATTTTTAGATTCACTTGTTGATAGATATGTATTTGTTGTCACTTTGTTGTTCATATTTTTTATCTTTACCCTTTTCTTCTTCCTCTTCTTAAAGAATACCCTTCAACATTTCATATAATACTGGTTTGGTGGTGATGAACTCCTTTAGCTTTTTCTTGTCTGTGAAGCTCTTTATCTGACCTTCAATTCTACATGATAGCTTTGCTGGGTAGAGTAATCTTGGTTGTAGGTTCTTGCTATTCATCACTTTGAATATTTCTTGCCACTCCCTTCTGGCCTGCATAGTTTCTGTTGAGAAATCAGCTGACAGTCATATGGGCACTCCCCTGTAGGTAACTAACTTCTTTTGCTGCTTTTAAGATTCTCTCTTTGTCTTTTGCCCTTGGCATTTTAATTATGATGTGTCTTGATGTGGTCCTCTTTGGATTCCTCTTGTTTGGGGTTATCTGTGCTTCTTGGACTTGTAAGCCTATTTCTTTCACCAGATAGGGGAAGTTTTCTGTCATTATTTCTTCCAATAGGTTTTCAGTATCTTGCTTTCTCTCTTCTTCTGGTACCCCCATAATTCGGATGTTGGTACGCTTGAAGTGTTCCCAGAGGCTCTTTACACTATCTTCATATTTTTGGATTCTTTTTTCTTTTTTTTCTTCTGGTTGGTTGTTTTTTGCTTCCTCACATTTCAAATCGATTTGATTTTTGGGATCCTCTAATCTACTGTTGAATCCCTGTATATTATTCTTTATTTCAGTCAGTGTATGCTTAATTTCTAACTGGTCCTTTTCCATTTTTTCACCATTCTCACTAAGATCCTTGATGGCATTCCCAGCAGCACTCTGTGGGGCCAGGGAGTTGTTCTACCTGCTTTGGACCCTGGGTGATGGGCCTGGAACCAAACCTGCAGCTGATTTCTGAGATTTATCTCTGGGGGTCATAGTGTTCTATGGTCAGTTTAGGGGGTAGGGGTTTCCATCACACTTACCATCCCGTTACATTTGGAAATTGAGTAGCAACAGCATTTATAGACCAGTGTCACCTTGTTTTAGATCAGCGGTTCTCAACCTGTGGGTCACAACCCCTTTGGCGGTCAAACGGCCCTTTCACAGGGGTCACCTAAGACCATCCTGCGTATCAGATATTTACATTACAATTCATAACAGTAGCAACATTACAGTTATGAAGTAGCAATGAAAATAATTTTATGGTTGGGTCACAACATGAGCAACTGTATTTAAAGAGCCAGAAGGTTGAGAACCACTGTCCTATAAGGCTCAGTGGCTCAGCCTCCCCAATCACATGAGTTGGACACTCTTGGTGCATCCCTTTGTGGGCTGTATGCACAGTGTTGTTGTAGCTGAGCCTTGATTTCTGTTGGTGTCACTGAGAGGAACTGACCTCCAGGCCAATTGGCTGCAGGGACCAGCTGCAACTATAGTGGGAGAGCTTCTATGCAGGAGACACCCCTATGAAGCAGGACTTGTTTCAGTGGGGCTTTGGTGCTCACTGAATCTGCCCCTTGAATGTGTTGCTTATGGATGTGAAGAGTTGTAATCTGGTATGGTCTCACACTGACCACTGGTACACTGGCTCTTGGGTCTCCAGGGAGATGCAAAGTCAGCCACTGCCTGGGGCCACCCAGCAGGAACTCCAGAGAGATCTGCAGATTCCTCCTCTTTGTATGGGGTTTGGATGTGCCCAGATGAGGCCCAGCTGTGAAGCAAGGCAGGCTGGTGCTGGTGCGGTTTTTGGGGGGCCTTTTATTGATAGGTTTGTAGCTCCCTGACCTAGCTGCAGTTTGTTTAACAGAGTTTTCTCCTGAGAAAGAACAGACCATTCTATGCAAAAGCCCCTGTGCACAGCTTGGGTGGGGTTGTAAATTGGGTAGGACGGGGTCTCAGGGAATCACCAGGGTGGAGCAAACAGAAATGGCTGCCAGTCAGCCCTGAACCTAGGAGGTCCCAGCACAGGAACAATGACCACTGCAAGCACCACAACATGAGGAGAAACATAAACAAAGCACTTATGTTGTGCTGAAGAGACAGAGATGGAAGCTCAGAGCTGATGAAGCACCTGGAAATTAGAGGAAAATGTATAGAGAAGCTAGAGCTACTATCTAGAAATCTATGGAAGTTATTCATAAGACCCTGGTCAAAGGCTGGACTACACATGTGCAAGGAAAGACATGGTGAAGCCAGGCAGAGAGCAGTTAATGCAGAGCTGAGACAAGAGGTCACACATTCCTGGGAGAATAGAGAGACCAGAGTGTAAAGATCTCAAGAATCCCCTGATAATTTGAGACACCAAAAAGTTCATATTTTTGGAATAAGAACCATGCCATTGTAAGAGCTACTGTAGACCAGCCCTAAAAAGGCTAAAATCAAGCTTCAAAAATATTAAGAATGCCCAGTAATTAACTGTCTAATAAAACAAATTCTCCCTTTTTAAAGAAAGACAAATACTCCCAACTATGTGTACTATGTCATTCATAATGTCCAATACAGAGCAATAATTTATTAGACATGCAAATCAGCAGGTGAATGTGAGCCATAGTTATTTTTTTCTTTATTGATTAAGGTATTACATATGTGTCCTTCTCCCCCATTTCTCCCCCACAGCCCCCACTCATGCCCTCACCCCCCTGTTGTCTGTGTCCATTGATAAGGCTTATATGCATGCATATAAGTCCTTTGGTTGATCTCTCCCCCTTACCCCCACCCTCCCCTACCTTTCCTCTGAGGTTTGACGGTCTGAATTTTTTAAAATGCAGTCAAACGCATCAACTGTGTTTTATAGCTTGTAGGAATAAAGCATGTGAGCTTCACAAGCAGACCTTCAGGTATCCATATGTGACAGTACAGACTGTCACTTTCAGATGGACCCTTGAGATATGACCTAAAATGCCAGAGTGTAGTATCCTGGTACGGTGTCTAATTCCTTGACTCTTCACGGACTTTGAGAAGTTATGAAAACATAAAGAGATAAGTACCAGTTGAGCTGCATGCTGAGAGGCATCAATTGTCAAAAATGTGATGTATATTTATAGCTTTTAGCTTTTAAAGTTTAAACAAAATGAAATTTAATTTATACAAAATAAAACTTTACAAGCTATAATATTATAAATACCATTCTTTATCTTATACTTAGTGTCCCGGTGCATGGATTCATGCATATTGAAAGGAAATTAATTAGAAGAAATATTTTAATATCACTATTCACATCTTGCTAATGAAAAGAAAATAGGATTCTACTGAGTCTCCTATCTACCTACTCTAAGACTTCTGTGAGGATCAAATGAGATGAAGCATGGGAAAGTGTTCCACAAACACTTGGTTAAACTGTAAAATGTTTGCAACTGGCAATAAAGCAAGTAGGGTTCCTGGGCTGAAGAAACTCCAAGGAGGCTAGTTGCTAGGGACAGGAAGCCGGGCGTTGTTACGTGACGTCATTACCTGGCACCCACAGCGACCTTTTCCGGGCTGGGCTGAACTGTGGGCCACATTTTGTGCCATGGGGTCTTGGCAGCATTGGCTGCAATTTGGTGGGGTGTCACTCCAGAGTGGTGGCAGGGCTTGTGCCCCACTTTGGGGAAGCAGAGTGTTGGCTTGTCAGTGCCAGGTCCGCAGTGCCATTTATTTTTAAATGGCCAGTGCATGTCATGGTACCTCCTACATTGAGCATCTGCCCCTGGTGGTCAGTGCGTGTCATAGCTACCAGTCGGATGGAGGGACACTTAGCCTTTTATGTATATAGACTAGA